TATTGTTGTAAGATCGAAATAACGAGCAATAATCCAGAACCCCAGGATTCGACGCAATCTGGAATTGAAAGGCGCCAGAGATTAGTAGATGGTCAAGGAAATGAGGCGCTACTGTGGACGAGTGGGAACAGGCGGCGCAACAATCAATCCCACCCCCTCTCGCTTATGGGTTCAGTCCTAGAACAGCGCAAAGCAACAGCGAAAATGGTGGTGTCGTTGACAGGAAAGTGGCTCATTTGATTCCTCAGGAGTATTGTGGCTGACGCAGGCTTTCTTTGCAAGGTATCATGAGCCTACAAGATATATTTATTTTTGCGAAGGTGTTCTTTGGCAAAATATGTGGCTGAGTATGGAGTATATATAGGCTTCAAGGCTTCAATCTTACCGTCAGCATTAACGAGTCACCTGGAATGCACAATCATAGCAAGTCCACGTCCAGTCCCGGCATTTGCAATTATTTTCTGCAGGGGTTCTGGTAGAGAAGTGCAGCCTGTTTCGGAGCGCACGCGAGAGAATTTCGTCATGCCGCTGCATTTACCACCCTCCACCCCCACCCCCCGAGCTACATCGTCCAGGTCCAGAGAAGGTTCAGCCTCACTCATTATATTAGGTTGGTGCATAAGTTTTTTCCACCCTGCTTTGATCCTTCCGTATTTCGTTTGCATGGATGTTGGTATTCGTCATCACGTGTGCGTGACGTGTACATGATACTCTTTCATCACACTAGCTATCACTCACCCACCCTGCATTTGCAGGCTACAATGCCGCACAATTACCAGTGCAAAACCATGTCACAGTGGTGTGCGGCATTGTGGCCTTCTTCGGGTCCCAGCCCCCGTCCTTCTGGGACGATGGAATCGACAAGCTGCCTGAGCGTTGGCGTCGAGTAGTGGATGGTGCATACCTCTAATCTTCAGGCTGGTTCGCTATTGAGATATTTACAAAAAAGTCGGGGAAAGAACTTATGCACCAACCTAATAATTATTCCAAAAAGACTTGTAAAGAGACAGGAGATCTTAAAGAAGGATTGATGGATTGCCCGCTGTTCCCTGACGACTTATGCTCAACATGAAACGTCCCATAAGCCCTCGACATTCTGCACTTTTGCCAGCGAAAACACCCGGTCTCACCCTAACACCCGGAACTAATCATACACACCAATTAACGGCTATCCCTCTTTATCTATCAAACTACCATTAAAAATGCATCCTCAGCATACTTGTGGTTAGCAAATGTCATTTAAAATATACTGGTTAAGAGATCTCCACGAAAGCAAAGACGAATAGATAGGAAAAGTGTATAGGACATGGAAAACCGTGCGTATCCAGACTAGTTGACCAGTCAATATCACACTGCGGGCAAATCAGACGGAATTAGGAACACACTGTGATCGTTAATCACTCAAACCCATCCCAACAATAACAACAAACCGGATGAATTGGAATGGTTACTGAGTAAACAACCAAAAACTAGTCATTATTAGCCTCACGAGCGCCGATTGATCAGCTGTATTTGATGTAGATACCTGAGAGATCGGGTGCGAACATATGTACAGACTAAGCAAATATAACATGACTGATCCACAAACTCCATGCACCCCTTCTATGAGGATTTTACTCGCTCATTTACTCACCAGG